AACGACGAGAAGCGCAAAGCAAGCAAGGACAAACGATCGAGATATAATGTTAATAAGGCCTAATTTCGCTTGGAACTGCTGTTGGTATTGTGTACGTAGTTGTTAGCGCTGTTGCTAGTTAGCGCTATATTCTGCATTTCTGCTTTTCCTGTTTGTTAAAGAAACAATGGAAAGCTGAAGCGTACGTCATGCATAGCAAACAACTAGATCATTTAGCGTTGAGGTAAAAAAATAATCGAAAAAAATACCAAAGATAATAACACGTGCAGAACACGCGTGTATATTACACCAACATGCTGTAAATAGCGGTATTAATGTGTAGCTGGAATCCATAAAGTAAATATAGCCCTTTGTTCTCAGTTCTACACATTCAGAAATATTTTATATTAAGTTTGCATCGTGAATGTACCATTTACATTCATATCCATCAGCCAAAATAATGTGTTAATTGTCTCTCATTCAAAGCATGTTTGAATCATATTTTCACATATTCATACTTGAATTATATTTATTCTTTTAAGCTCCCTTTTTTAAGGTACTTTATACCATACTCAATCTACAATCATAATACATACCATTAGCATTTAAGTATGTAAATTCTTTTGTTTACATTTTTTTTATTATTATTTATTTATTATTATTATTATTATTATTTTTTTTTTTTTTTTTTTTTTTTTTTTTTTTTTTTTTTTTACAGGAATTACAAACCAACTAACTAGAACTTGCGTAAAAAAAAAAAAAAACAAGCTGTTTTTCTGGGCCTGCAAGCGGCTTCACGGGAAAGATAAGCCATATCGGAAATCCTTAGCCAGACATAATTTCGCTCGGAGAACCTTTTCTGAAATTAGGTCAGCGAAGTGAAGGATTTCCTCCAGTTTCTGAGCAGTCACGCAACACTATTTTTTTTTTATATATAGTTCTCCATTTACATACGTATTCATTTACGTATTTATTTACAAATCTAGTCAGTTAGTAATCTATTTACATATCTATCTATTTAATAATCTATTTACATGTACACCTGTAGCTAATCACGACAAGTTAAGCACACGATAAGGTGGACGTGAATGTTCTAGTTCTCACATACACCTTCGTTGCCTTCTATGCACAACTTTCTTACGTATTTTCTTCATTTCCCTAAACGTCAAAAGTCTCGTCGATTAAACACGGTTATATTTACTTTATTCCGCTTTCATTTTTTTTATAATAGGAACCGGATGGACCAGAGCGCTTTCATCAATAATCATTTCATCATTCTCTGTCAACGATCATGTGCTTTCATTACTTATTCATCAATTCATCCATTTACATACGTATTCATTTATGTATCTATTCACATATCTATTCAGTTAATAATTATATTATATATCTTATGTATAAGTCATTTATATCATTTTATCTATGTGATGGGTGTGTTTGTGTATGTGTGTTGTGTGTGTGTTGTGTGTGTGTGTGTGTGGTGTGTGTGTGTGTGTGTTGTGCGTGTGTGTGTGTGTGTGTGTGTGTGTGTGTGTGTGGTGTGTGTGTGTTGTGTGGGTTGTTTGTGATCCTAAATAAAGGATCTGAATGATTATTCCAAGAGAAACAAAATGTACACTTGCATTTCGTTTTCTATTATGCTGTTGAGGATTGTTGTCACACTACGTATCCGCATGTACATTTGACTGAAATTCGGCCTTCGTGAAAAGCTCCGAGACCGAAGTTCAGGGGCTTTAATCTAAGAGGAAAAGATACATTGTAATGTGGATGTTAGCTGGTGGGTTGGCCAGTCTAGTTTAGCCCATTTGTGAACAGTTCTAAATCTACTTCATATGTGACGTACCTCTGTGATTTGGACCATGGCATGTTCCTTTGCCATGGTACGGAGTAATGTACCATCACTGTTATAACACCCGTATGAGTTCCATAACCATACTTCTCTTACATATCTTCGCCGTAATCATCTCACCCCATTTTCATGCATCAAAACGGAAAGTAAATAAAAGGATTCGTCACTCTCGCGATGAAAGAATACCGTACCTGGCACCCGTCTTCATATATTTCCGCTGCATGAGTATGTTTCACAGAGATGACACGGCGTTATTTGTACACCTGTAGCTAATCACGACAAGTTAAGCACACGATAAGGTGGGCGTGAAAGCAAGGTCTGGGCGGTGTATGGGCGGCACTTTGATGGAACTGATTAATCCGGCTCTATTTGGACGTATGTGAGTCGTATTAACAGCGCGTGGGCAACTCGACTTCACATCCGGCCGGTCCGAAATTGGGATTCAAATATCCCTCAGAGTATTTATAGCTGGTTTCTCTTTCTCAGATCTAGAGTTCGGGTGCATGTAGAGACAGGCTCTATAGAGTTAGCATAGTATTGATGTATTTTGTCTTTGATAAAAGGATAAAAAAGGGATTTATTTTTCTCTCTCCCTCCTGTCGATCGGCGGCCTTCAAAAAGGAGATAACGTACGGACTGGAAATGGACCAGTCCTTCCGGTGCTTTCCTTCTATCAGCTGACGGCGTGTATATATACAATACCCAGCTGACTCTAGGGTTAGTCTGCTCCTACGCTGACACACTGAGTGTTCTCTGTGTCCTGCCGACGTCTGAGACCTTGAATCCAGACTGTTCATCGCGTGAAGTTACCGTGGCGTCGCTTCCCAAGAACATCGCTAGAACATTCTCCAAATTTTATAAATAAAATAGATAAACAGAAACATCGATAAATGCAATCACTGAGCGCATAGGTAGAAGGAGAAGGAGAAAGAGAGGAAAGAAAACAGCTGAACAGGTAGTCAGTCCCTTGCGATGGGGCGGCGTCGCGACCGGAACTTGGGGCCCCTCTGCCTCCTCCTGCTGGGGCTCGCGGCTCCTTCGGCGGCGTTCCTGGGGCGAGGGACGCTGCTGGAGGGGGAGGGCGACATCTTCGGGATCTACTGCGAGGAGTTCGACAGAGGCACGCGCGTGTGGCACCACAGGGAGATCACCAGGGAGGCAGTGAGGAGGGTCATCGTGGATCATTTCAAAGTAAGATTATATCTATTTGCATTTCTTTATCTTTTTTTATTTCTTCGTCTGCCTATTTCCTTAAATATCTACTCGTCTACTCGTTATTTTATCCACCTACTCTTTTGCTCGTTGATTTATACGTTTACCTTAATTCATCTACTATTTAAACAACCATTTTCTTCCTCACTTCTTACCAACCAACCCCGTCCTACTCGAACACGTTGTGCAAGAACGTAAATCGGTTTTCCTTCAGTAAACACGGAGATACGTGACCTTGGCTTTTCCAACGACTTTCCCTTCTTATCACGACCAGACACCTGGTGGGAGATCGGAAATGTTTTCGAGAAATACCTGATACTGTTGATAGTTTATGGTCAAAAGGGGCATTTATCTCTTCAATTATTTAACCGATGTTATTTTTCTTTATCATCTTTTAATTATTTAATCGTCACTAGTTTTCTTATTCATTCTTTAATTATTTAATCGTTACTACTTTTAATTATTTAATCGTCACTAGTTTTCTTATGCATCCCTTTAATTATTTAATCGTTACTACTATTCTTTATCATCTCATATCTATCTCCCTAGCTATGTACAGTAGAAATGTTAAGTTGATCAGGTCCTCTTAATAGATGGATTCCATAAGTATAAGTAGATAAGAAGATAGAACGAATTACTTATAAAACAAATAATTAGGTAGACACTTAACTAACCGTGGACAGGAAGGATGGAAGAGGTTGAGAGGAAGGAGGGAAGGGAAGTAGTGAGGCAAGAGGAATGAAAAGGAAGGAAGGAAGGGGTGATAAGAGTCATGTTTGTTTATCGCACACAAACGATATGTCGGTTCAGATAATTGAATCGGTTGTGGGTGGTTTCCTGTGGATGGTTGATGGTGTGTGGGTCATGGTGGTGATGATGACGAGGTATTGTTGTTACAGTAAGGAGGATTTTCACCGGAACAGTTTTTCAGTAATACAGTAAGGAAGATTTTCACCGCAACGAAAAAATACAGTAGTAGTAAGTTACAGCAGTAATACAGTAAGGAAGATTATTACAGTCGTAAGGAAGATTTTCATCGCAACGAAAAAAATGTACAATAAGGAAGGTGCACGAAAAAATATGTACTGTATAGTAATTAAATCAAATGTAACAGCAATTATAATGATAGTAACGATAACTTACTTATGGTATACGTTGATATGATAAAAATGCGTCTTTTTCTTAGGGTCTTTATGTAATATACTGAAATGTATGTTTACAGAATACAAAAAAGAGCGAGAAAATATTTACCAGCTTTATCGAGTGAAAATCCACGTCCCTGTGTCCATGATCCTCCAAATAAAGGTTACTTATGGCCAGGCGGATCCTGATTACCTGATAATTGGTGTTTCGATTTGTCTTTCTATTTTTGTTCTTTCTGTTTTCTTCTGTTTTCTTGTTATTCCTGTTCTTTTCTGTTTTCTTGTTATTCCTGATCTTTTCCGTTTTCTTGTGCTTCCTCTCGTCTGGCTTTTCTTGTTCTTTCTCTTCTTTGTTTTTTTTTTGTTTCTCCATTTTCTTGCTTCCTGTTTTTTTTTTTTTTCAGTTCTTCCTCTTCTTTCCGTTTTATTCTTTTTCTTCTCCGTTTTCTTGTCCTTCCTCCCGTGTGCGTTTTATCAACATCCCTCTTCTCCGCTTTCTTTTACTTACTGTCTCCTACCTCCCCCAACACCCCCAACACCCCATTTCCGACACCCAAATCACCCCCCCCCCCCACTGGCGTCCACAACCTCCACCGATTGCCACAACCCCCACACACTTCCCCAACCGACCTGTCAACCGGAAACGCCCCCGTCAACCGGACTCAAACGTACGGTCTCTCTCTCTCGCCCCTCCTAGACCGTCCCTCCAGCCAAGGGGGCTTATAACCACCGCGACGGCATGACGCTGGAGGAGGCCTACGCGGAGTACTTCGGCGCCGAGTCCTCCCCGAAGCCGTTCCTCTCGGCTGTGGCTTCGCTCGTGGACGCCGCCGCCGAAGCCGATGCGGGCTACCTCGGCTCCGATCCGAGGTGAGTGGGGCGCAGGCACTGGGGCGCGCGTTTTGCTTCGTTACTGCTATTACTACTACTGATGCCGCTACTCCTACAGCTGAGACTATTAGCACTACCACTAGTATGCCTGCTATAACAGCTGCTACTGCCGTTGCTCCTTCTACTGTCGTTATTTTATTATTACTGAGGGTGGGGTGGTTCACCTTATCTTATTCTCCATCTATAGACAGGCTAATTTTCCTCTGATTATCTATTTATATATACATGCATCCCATATGCGTGTCTATTTATGTCTAGAAATCATTTTCTTAAGTCTATTTTCGTTTCATAATACTAAAATCAGACTTTCTGTTCTTCAGGAGGGTAGGGGCTGCCTCCAGAAATATATTTTTTTCCGCTCATTATACTTAAAGAACAAATACATCAACACGAACGTATAAAAAAACAATAACAAAACAATCCTGAACTTTCAAACCGACTCGGCCATTAATAACAATCTTCCTCTTCATTTATATTCATCGATTCATGATTGTTCCACCAGGTACCACTTCGGCAGCGAGAGGTTCTCCGAGTCCCAGCAGATCCTGACGGGGCGTTGGCCGAGAATCATCAAGGCGATCCAGGCCGGAGACTACAGCGCTGCCATCTACATGCTAGGCCTATCCCTCAGCGCAATACAGGATTTCTATTCCTACTCGAATTGGGTCGAATTGGGCCATGAGAAATTCAATCCGGATGTTGGTGAGGCTTCGAAGCTTTTTTTCTTTTTCTTCTTCTTCTTCTTTTCTTCTTTCTCCTTCTCTCTTTTTCTTTGGGTTTCGTCGTATCCCTTTTATTTTCCATTTCTTCATTTTTTATGATTTTCATCGAATTTGTCTTTTTCTTTTCTTTTTCAGAGGATGGTTATTTATTTATATTATATTTTATTTATTTATTTATCTTATCCTGTTAGCTGATACTCATTTTTCCTAGTTATTATATGTCATTTTACACCATGGTCTTCACTTAATGCAGTATTACCATATGCAGTTTCTATTATCCTCATGGTCCCTTATCTATTTTTTTGTCATCTTTATTGTGTCCTTTATCACTACAAGAGTCACCAGTAGCAGGAACGTCGTCAATGCACCATAAATCCACGTATTAAATATAAAGAAATATACAATAACTGGTATTTGGGGAATCACGATACTCTCAGTATGTCAGATATTAACATAGAAAGATCAGAAAATGATGAAAAGTTTTAGTATTTGACCATTGCCTACAATAGTAATAATTAGCAATTATCTACCTATCTCACTCTCTATCTATCTATCTATCTATCTATCTATCTATCTATCTATCTATCTTCTATTTCGTGTGTGTTATAAGCGTTGTATGTGTGTGGTGTGTGTATCTATTCTATTATCTAATCTATCTATCTATCTATTATCTATCTATCATCTATATATATATATATATATGTGTGTGTGTGTGTGTGTGTGTGTGTGTGTGTGTGTGTGTGTGTGTGTGTGTGTGTGTGTGTGTGTGTGTGTGTGTGTGTGTGTGTGTGTGTGTGAGTGCGTGTATGTGTATGAGTGTCTGTGTGTGTGTGTGTGTGTGAGCGTGTGTCTCTGTCTGTCCTGAAAAAACAAAGCGTATCCCCCCCTCTCTCACGCCCCTGCGCCTTCCCCCTTCGCAGGAATATCCGGCCTCACCCTCCCCGGCGTGGCGGACCCCCAGGAAGGCACGTGCAAGGACTGCCCGTCGGACGCTAGCGGGGTCAGCGCCCTGTCCGGATAACCCTCCTGCAGGACGTTCTCGACGCCGGGAAAACTCACGTCCGGATACGGCGACGAGACGCTGTGGGCAGTGCAGGAGGGTGGAGAAGCGAGGTGGCATCGGTGAGTCTAGGGAGGGGGGAGTGCAGGAGGACAGGGAAGGGAGGGGAGGGAGAAGCGAAGCGGAAGGAGGACGAGGAGGAAAGGGAAGCGAGGGAAGGGGAGGAGAAGGAAAGGAAGGAAGAAGAGCAAGGAGGGGAAGCAAGAAGGCGGAAGGGGAGAGGGAAGGGAGGAAAGGGGCAGAAAAGGAGAGGACGAGAAGGGAAGGGAGGGAGGGAGGGGAGGAAGAAGGAAGGAAGGGAAGGGGAGGGAGGGAAAAAGGGAAGGAAAGAGAAGGAGGAAGGAACGCGGGAGAAGAAAGGAAGGAAAAGAAGGAGGGAGGGAAGGGGAGGAAGAAGGTAAGGAAGGGAAGGGAGGAAGGGAACGGGGGAAAGAAGGGAGGAAGCAGAAGGAGAGGAAGGCAGGAGAAGAAGGGAAGCAAGAGGGGAAGGGAGGGAGGGAAAGAAAGGGAGAAAGAGGGAAGAAAAGATAGAGGGATCCAGGGGAGGAAGAAGGGGAAGGAAAGACAGCGCCAAGAAGGGAAGAAGGAAGGAGAGGTGCCGACAGAGGAAAGAGGAGGAGGAAAAGGGTACTTAGAGGGGGGAGGAAGGAGTGGAGTGGACTATGGAAAGTGAGCGGTGGGACAGGGGTCTAGCCCGGTGTGGCAGGACGCAAGGGAAAAGGCAGGGAAAGAGGAATGCGAGAGAAGGAAAGAGGGAGAGGATGCGTAGAATGATGAGGAGGAGAATGAGAAGGGAGATTGAAGGAGGAAGAGGGAAAGAGGATGCGTAAACGGAAGGAGAACGAGAGAAGAACGAAGATAGAGGAAGAGTAGGGAGGAAGGTAAGGAAGGAAAAACGAATGAGGGAAATGTAGATTTCAAAATATAGAGAAAGAGGGAGGGAAGAAGAGAGAGAGAGAGGGAGGGAGGTGAGAGAAAAGAAAGCAGGGAAAAAGTAGAGGATTGTGGAATAGCCTGGAAAGGAATAGCTGGATGAAAGGAAAAACGGAGAAAGGGGAAAAAATAAGATGGGATGACAGGAGAAGAGCAGAACAAGAACACAACAGAATCCCTCATACCTCATACTCTATCACCACACATCACACACGCTTCCAATCGCAGATTATACATCAACCCAAGCAAGATGCATATATTTCTACAATCATCAGTGAAAAATAACCGTACATTATAAAAGAAAGAAAAAAACATTAAAAAACGCAATCAAATTCCACCACACTGCATCCACAAAAGCCATATATTTCTACAATCATCAGTGAAAAATAACCATACATTATAAAAGGACGAAACAAATATAAACAAAAAAAAAAAAACGCCATCAGATTCCGCCACACCAGCCAACACACCAGCCTACACACGCGCCTACACACCCAGGCCTACACACCACCTCCACACCACCCTACACACCAGCCAAAACACACCACCCTCCACACCACCCTACGCACACCAACACACCACTCCTCCACATCCCTACACACCAGAACACACCACCCTCTCACACCCACCCTACACACCACACCTACACACCAACAACAATACATAACAGCGCTTTCTCCCCTAACCTCCCGCAGCAAGTGGTAGCCACGCGAGCAGGTCGAGGGGACAACTACATACACACCAGCCTACACACCACCCTACCACACCACCCTCCACCCACCACTACAAAACAACAACCAATACCATTAACAGCGCTTTTCCCCCCTGACCTCACGCAGCCAAGTGCAGCCACGGAGGATCGAGGGACAGGTCAAGAAGCACAGGAGCCCGAGGAGGCATCAACAAAGAGCTCCCGACGGCCTGCTTCTCGCCTCACCACCAGCTGCACGAGAAGGCGGCGCAGCAAGCCATCCAGGTGAGTCGAGGAGGATCAGGGGCGGTGACTGGATGGGATATTTGAGAGGAGAGGGATGAGGGAGGAGAGGGAGGGAAGGGAAGAGGGAAAGAGGGAAGGAGAGGAAGAGGAGGGAGGCGAGAGGGAGAGGGAAGAGAGAGGGAGGGAGGAGGAAAGGAGAGGGAGGGAGGAGGAGGGAGGAAGGAAGCGAAGAAGAAAGAAGAAGATTAAAGAGATAGGAGAAGCTACGGGGATGCGACATTTGGAGAGAAGAGAGAGAGAGAGAGAGAAGAGAGAGAGAGAAAGAGGAGAGAGGGAGAAGAGAGAGAGAGAGAAGAGAGAGAGAGAGAGACAGAGAAGAGATGAGAGAAGACGAAGAGAGAAAGAACGAGAGGAAAGAGAGAAAGAAAGAAAACAGAGAGAGAGAGAGAGAGAAGAGAAGGTAAAAGTTCTAATGAAAGTATTTACTGCAGGGATAAAGACCAAAAACGGAGCGTGAGAGAACTAGATAGAAAGATCCAGAAATAGAGACAGACAGACGATAGATCATGATTTTACCTCCTCCAAGGAAGTTATGTTCATAGTAGCGTTGGTTAGTTTGTTGGCTGCTTGGTTAGCAGATTTGGTGTCTTTAGCAGTTGGTTAGCAGATTTATTAAATAATTTTTTTTACCAGAGGCGTGTCTTTAGCGTTGTTGCAGATTTACCAGAGGCGTGTCTTTAGCGTTGGCTAGTTGGTTAGTAGATTTATAAATGAAATATCTACTAGAGGCGTCTTAGCCCAACTTAGATGTCATTGGATTTTGGTGGTGATACGGATCAGACAGACTGATAGGTAGATGTACAGAGATACAAACGGAGAGAGTAATTTACTAAGCCTATTCCTCAAAACACTACAAACGACAACAGCATTAACCTAAAAGCAAAATAATAATAAATAAATAAATAAATAAAAATAAAATAAAAATATTGAATATGCGTAATACTTGGCAGGTGAAAAGTTCTGAAAACCACGACCGCCTTCCCCATAACCGACGTCGCGAAAGCCTTTCAAAGCAACACCTTCGACCTTACTCCTCCTCTCTCTCTCCCTCCCTCCCTCTCCTCTCCAGGCGACGAGTACTACCTGACCCTCGTGCGCGGGGCGGTCGGCGATGACCTCTTCGTCCGGTTCCTGAGCCTGTACCCGACGCCCGCGCTGGTCCTCGTCCTCGACACGACGGACTCCATGGACAAGGAACTCGCGGCGCTCGTCCAC